GTGTTGTTGTCGTCTGTTGTGTGTGTGTGTCAGTTTCCTGCTGGTGTTTGATTACCTGAGCATTAATCTGGCCACCATCAACTCCTGCATCAACCCCATCATCCTCTACTTCGTCAGCAAGAAGTTCAAGAACTGCTTCCGGGTACGTACACACACACACACACACACACACACACACACACACACACACACACACACACACACACACACACACACACACACACACACACACACACACACACACACACACACACACACACACACACACACACACGTGCACACACAAACACAAACACACACACACACACAGACGCAGACGGAGGGTTTATCAGCTGCTTTCTGAAGGTCAGTGTGTGTGTTTTGCGCGTCACTGCGCGTCTGTCTGCTCGGAGACTCTGAAGAACTCAAACACATCAGGTTAGTCTGCATGTTTCTCTAAAATACACACATTAAACTCTTCTAACACGCGTTACTGCGACTGAAAACTGTGTGTATCTATAATAAAACACACGTCACTTCAGCCAGATGCAGATTAAACATCTCTGTATTCTAGTTTATTATACTTATATACTAAAATACTAAAGTTTCAACTAAACTATAACTAATAAACACAAATAAACAGCATATGGAGAGGCTCAAACACACTAATAACTTCAGAACAGAAGCAAACAAAAAGTTTGACATGTAAAACAGCACATCGCTGATAATATACTATATTTCTTTCCTCAAACATTTCCCAAATGATGTCTGTCAGATTCAGGAGTTGTTCACAGTGTTTCCTCTAATATTTTTTCTTCTGGAGAAAGTCTTATTTGTTTTATTTGGGTTAGAATTAAAGCAGTTTTTAATTGTTTTAAATTCATTTTAAGGTCAATATTATTGGCCCCTTCAGCAATATTAGTGTTGGATTGTCTCCAGAACAAACCACTGTTATACAATGACTTGCCTAATTACCCTAACTTTACCCTAATTACCCTAGTGAAGCCTTTACATGTCACTGTAAGCTGAACACTAGTGTCTTGAAGAATATCTAGTCTAATATTATTTACTGTCATCATGACAAAGAGAAAATAAATCAGTTATTAGAGATGAGTTATTAACACTGTTATGATTAGTGTTGAAGAAATCTGCTCTCCGTTAAACAGAAATTGGAGAAAAAAATATTTAAGAATGAAATTTAACAGAAAGGCAAAAGATATTTTTTTTTTATTGTTTATTGACCGCATAATTTATTTATTTGTTAGTTTTTTAACTAAAATATGTGTATACACATATATAGTGCTCAGCATATATCAGTACACCGCACACAAATCTCTCTTTATAATTCATATCTTAATAAGAAGCTCTAAAATATTATATTTGTGCTGTGCATGTATGTTAGATTAGTCAGTACTGAAGTTAAATCAGGAACAAAATAGCTTATGATAACGCTTTAAACAGTAGCACACCCACATTCATATGTTATAGAGCAATAATAAATACAAATTTACAAAAGAGGAAAAATCAAGAGCAGCAAACTAATAGAAATAAAATAAAGAAATGTTGCTGAGATTTTGTAGGTTGTAGTTTGTTTTTGCAATATTTTGCTTGAATTTAATTGTATTCGTCACTTATAGGTTTCGCTCTGCGTTCTCAATGGTTTTCAGATATTTAGCTTTAAAGTTTTTGCATTCCATATAGCAGACCGTGTGAAACATTTGTTTTTTAAATAAAAGGTCACACTTTACAATAAGGTTCATTAGTTAATGTTACTTAATGCATTTACTAACATGAACAAACAATGAACAGTACATTTACTACAGTATTTGTTCATGTTAGTTAACATTAGTTAATAGAAATTACAGTAGTTCATTGTTAGTTTGTTAACTCAGTGCATTAACTAATGTTAACAAGCATGAGTTTGAATGTTAATAATGCATTAGTAAATGTTCAATAATGATTAATAAATGCTGTACATGAGCTGTTCATGATTAATTTATGTTAGTAAATGCATTAACGAATGAACCTTATTGTAAAATGTTACCAAATAAAAAGTCTTAAAATGTAAACAACTTACAAAAAAAACATCCTATAATTTAAATAAGTTGTCATTTAATAGGAAGACGTCAATAACTCAATTTTGACAAAAATGTCAGATAGAACCTTATATTTATAAGAGATGTATTATCTTTCAGTTTCTAAATATGTTTGGTGACTAAAATATTACTGTAATGAATATATCTGTTCAATAAATCTGCTTTTAAATGCAGCAGAATACCCTGACTATATTCACTGAGAAATAGAGGAACATATTCATTTTCATAATGGGCTGATTTCAATTATGCTGAGCACTATATATATATATATATATACAGTTGAAGTCAGAATTATTTTAATTTTTTCCCCAGTTTCTGTTTAACGGAGAGCAGATTTTCTAATCATAATAGTGTTAATAACTCATCTCTAATAACTGATTTATTTTCTCTTTTCCATGATGACAGTAAATAATATTAGACTAGATATTCTTCAAGACACTTCTATACAGCTTAAAGTGACATGTAAAGGCTTCACTAGGGTAAGTAGGGTAACTAGGCAGGTTAGGGTAATTAGGCAAGTCGTTGTAATAATTATTGTATTATCGAGAAAAAATATGGCTTAAAGGGGCTAATAATATTGACCTTAAAATTATCTTAAAAAATTTAAAAACAGTTTTTTCAATTTGTACTGTTTTATATATATATATATATATATATATATATATATATTTTTTTTTTTTGTACTGTCATAATTATTTATATTTTTTCTGTTTTATATATATTTTTTTCTATTTGTACTGCAACATACATATATACACACACACACATATATATATATATATATATATATATATATACACACACACACACACACACACAAACACATATTTATATATATTTGTATTGTCATATTTATTTATTTATTAAATTTTTTTCTATTTGTACAGCTATATATATATATATATATA